GCAGTTTCGTATGATGATTTTGGACGTAGGCGTGTGTCCCGATTTGGATTCGGAGGTCCATAGGGTAATTTGAATCATTTCGGCGAAGTGCTTCATCTTTAGATGTTAGAAATAGAACCCAGGAAAAGTTGAAGTTTTGGAAGGTTGAGAGGTTTGACCAAGAGTTGACTTTGGTGATATCGGGGTCGGAATGTGATTCCGAGAGTTGGAACAGCTCAGTTATATCATTTGGGACTTGCCTGCATAATGTGACATCATTCTGGGTTGATTTGATAAGTTTCGGCACAAGTTTTAGAAGTTGGAAGATTTGGAAGTTCATAAGTTCATTCATGGTGTGATTTGTAGTTTCGATGTTATTTGATGTGATTTGAGACCTCAAGCGAGTCTCTGTTAGGTCATGGAACTTGTTAGTGTGCTTAGACGGGGTCCCGGGGCCTCGAATGTGTTTCGGATGGGCTACAGGCCATTTCCTTCTATTTTTGGATTGTTGTTCTGCTGGTGTCTGGTTTTCTTAATCGCGTTAGCGTCAATTCTTCTGCGTTCGCGTAGTGTAATTTTGGAGGATGAATTATTTGTTCTTCGCGTTCACATGCTTCTGTCCGTGATCGCGTAAGTTTGCTTTCCCCTTCAACGCGTTCGCGTTTATCTGTACGCATTCGCGTAGCACAGCCCCAACTGGTCCCCTTTCGCGATTGTCGTCTCCCTTCCGCGGTCGCGTAGTGTAGTCCTTGGGCGTCAGAAGCTTTTCCTCTTTACGGTCATACCCTCCTACCCGCGAACACGTAGTGCACTTGCAGGCAGTGGACCTTTCCTTCTTTGCTATCGCATATCTTTTTCCGCGATCGCGATGCATTAATAACTGGGCAGAATATTAAGTACTCTATTCCGAAGGTTAGCCATTTTCAACATTTTTGGAGTTATAGAGCTCGATTTTGAGCATTTGTTTGTGGGTTTTTCAAGAAAATCAATTAAGTGTTTTTCACCTAGAAGTTATTATATTTCATGATTCTATCTTTATTTTTATCATTTAATTAGTATTTTGAGTTGAGGAAAAATGGGGATTTTGAAGAAAACTTTCAATATGTAAAATGATGATTTGAGGGACGAAATGGTATCAGAATTTCATAATTTTTGTATGGTTGAACTCGTATCAGAATGTGTGTTCGAATTTTGTAAAATTTGTCGGGTTTCGAGGTGCGGGCCCGAGGGGTCGACTTTTTGGTTGATTTTTAGTTTTTGATAAAGATTGAAGCTTTACTACTCGGAATAGTTTCTTATGAGTTTTATTTGTGCTTTGAAGTTATTTTGGCTAGATTTGAACCGTCCGGAGGTTATTTTAGTCGAGAAGTTCATTTTAAATATCGGTCTCTCTGCTTTGAGTTAAGTATCTTGCCTAACATCATGTGGGGGAAACTACCCCTTAGGATTTGAGTCTTTTATGCTAATTGTATCATATAAAGTCCGTGTACGCAAGGTGACGAGTACGTGCTCGGGCTTATATGTGGGAAGTTTACCTTCTAGGGCTCTTAGGTCCTTATGTTCAATGAATATGAAGTTGTTTTTGTTATGATTAAGTTTCCCATTTACTAGTTTCACCTCGACATGCTTTAATTGGAATTAATTGCTTCATGATCCACTCTTATTGCCTATCTGACTCTTATATGGCTTAACTGAAGTTGTTACCTCTTCTATGGCCATGCTATCCCTCCCTAATTGCTTCTCCTTAATTGAAAGTATAATTATCTCTTCTGTAATTATTCATCCTTAATTGAGGTTGTGATTATCTTTCCGCTGCTTACCCTTAATTGAATTTGTTGTATCTTTTTTGTAATTGCTCAACTTTAAAAGAAGCTTAGATATCCTATATCTTAGTTGACTTATCCTTATTTGGAATTATTGACTTTTGTTATCTCCCTTGTTGTTGAACTGTACTTTGTGGGATCGTTGTTACATATTATTTCTTCCTTGTTGAGCTATTCTTATTATGACTAGTATTCTCTATTGTGTCTATTCTTTGTGAACTAGTTCTTCCGTTTCTTTGTGATCGAAAGCTCTTGAACTGATTTACTTGTCGTACACTTCTGTTATTGTTATTGTTGCTATTGTACTCAGTGCTGTGATGCACGAGGTTTTTGCCATGCAGTTGTTATTGTGATGCACGAGGTTTCTGTCGTGCAGTAGTGGTTGTGTTGCACGAGGTTTCTGTCGTACTATTGTTACTATTGATATGTGCACATGCGGCGTGACAAGGCAGACTATATATATGTGGGTTGCGCATGAGTGGGAATATTATTATGCACGTGTGGCGAGACAAGGCGGGCATTTACTTTATTATTGCGCACGTGGCGAGACAAGGTGGGCTATGTCAGGGATTGATTTGTGATGACTTGTGATGGCTTGGGGGTATTCTTGTTATTGATATTTGTGTAGTGGCGCACCTACCTGTGTGAGTTTTATCTTGTAAAAAATTGTGGGAAAACATTATACGTGTTATCCATTTTCTCTATACTTACTAGATGGCATGAAGTGTGTTAGAATACTTGCACAAGCATACACGTAGTTAATCACTCCTATCGGTTTAAGAGGATGGATCCTGATATTATTGAGTATTGATGCACACCCTTGTCTACTTGCCTTCTATATGAGAATGGTTCTATTGGCACGTGAGTCGTCCGTGCAGTTATTAGTTGAGATGAGGGCACAAGACGCCAAGTGTTTAAGGTTCATAAAGTGGGACTCGTGACTTGTGAATATTTTGAGGTTTGGCACCTCGTGGAGGTTATTGGATAAATCTGGTTTGAAAACGGCTATTCTTGTCGAGTTGCTACTTGTCCTTCTTTTATCATTCTTCATCGGATTTAGACTGTGATTAGCTTACTCTACTGTGTTATTACTGGTTGTGCTCCGCTGCTAATTGTTACTTCTGTTTTTCTTATTTTAAGCATTGTATCATTATTGTCATTATGTGTAGTTTTATAGAGATGCCATACTACGTTAGTTCTCCACTTATACTTGTTCAGGTTATCTAGTCCAGTAGGTGTCTCGACTGTCCCTCATTACTACTCCACTGAGGTTAGTCTTGATACTTACTGGGTACCGTTGTGGTGTACTCATACCACGCTTCTGCACAATTTTTGTACAGATCCAGGTATTTCGAAGTCAGTCGATCGTTAGCTAGCTGTGCAGATTTCTGCTGTGGAGACTCAAGGTAAACCTGCTGTTGCGTTCGCAGGCTTCGGAGTCACCTTTTGATGTTGTTTTTACATTGTTTATCCTTATTTCGAAAACAGTTGTATTTAGAGATTTCTAGCAAACTTTGTAGAACTTATGACTTGTACTACCGGTTTTGGGATTGTAAATTTTGTATCAAGATTTCTTCTTCACCTTTGTCAATCATTATTTATTATTGTTGTTATTACAGTAAATGTTAGGCTTACCTAGTCCCTAAGACTAGGTGCCATCACGACCTCCTACGGAGGGAGATTCGGGTCGTGACATTAATGCTCTGTCTTCATAGTTCTCTCTTATAGATCTTGGGTTGATTCATTACTTTCTTGGCGTTGAGGTTACGCACACATCAGATGGTTTGCTCTTATATTAACATAAATATGTCAAAGATCTTCTCCAAGATGTTAACATGGATCAATGCAAAGGCGCTCCCACGCCCATGAATTCTACATGTACCTATGAAACATCTCGTGAGGATTCAAAAGTGGATGGCACTCTTATCGTTGAGTCATTGGAAAGCTTCATTATCTATCCTGTACTCGGCATGACATTGCCCTTGCTATAAGCAAATTATCTCAATTTATGCATCAACCAGGTATTTCTCACTAAAAAACTGTCAAGCGTCTTTTGAGATATCTTTGTCACACTACTCATCTTGGTATTAAGCTTGCTAAAAAATCTGCTGCTCAATTGGTTTGCTATTCTGATTCAGATTGGGCTGGTGACCCACTTGATCGAACTTCTATCACATGGTATGTTGTATATCTTGGTGATTCTCCTATCTCATGGTCTTCTAAGAAGCAATGTTTTGTTTCTCGGTGGTCTACTGAGGCCGAATACAGAGTTGTTGCAGCTATAATCTCTGAAGTTGTCTGGCTCAAAAATTTGCTTCATGAGCTTCACTTTCCACTGTCCAGTCCTCCTCGAATTCTCTGCGACAACATGAGCACTACTTACATTTGTGTCAATCCGGCTTTTCATAGCCGTGTGAAACATATTGAGATCAATTTTCACTTTGTTCGTCAACTTGTGCAGTCTAAGGTTCTCGAGGTCTGTCATCTTCATACTGCAGATCAAGTTGCAGATATGCTTACGAAGCCGATACCCAGTTCTGCATTTCCACGTATATATCCCAAGTTGGGTCTGGTTGACACCAGCCTCACCTTACGGGGGCGTGTAAAGGACTCTTGACTAATTCAACCTTATCCATTAACATAGCCTTTATATGTATCTTTTATCTGTATCGTTTTGTTAGCCTTTTATTTAGGAGTTTGTTAGGTCTTACGTCTCAAATCTATCTGACCTTCAATCCATCTTTGTCCAGCCAGCTCATAACAGAATCTTAGACCAATCTCAAGGCTGACACAATTGAATTGGTTGAGGAAAAGGAAACCCAAGCGACCAAGCACTCCTGCCCCCCAAAAGCGGAGACCAAAGAACCGCCGGGTTGTCGAGGACACATCTGAAGAGGAGGCGGGCGCCCTCTAAGTTGACCACATCTCTATTTTCCAGAAGATTTGTTGTACTTTTGCGCTATATAAGAGTTCGTACTTCATTAGTAAAACTAACTCCTTTCATTCCGTCTACAGGCTTCCTCTTTAATAACATTGGACAATCCCCGAGATTTCAATATTTTGGCGTTTAATATGCCGATTGGAGTTTCGTTAGAAATGAAGGGTATATATAATATTTTTGATAATGACAAGGTCATTCTTTAAGCAAACTTTCGATGAAGGATATGGATAAATAATTTTAGATAGTTCGAAAACAAATTTGAACATAAACTTACGAATATGAATTTGCCATTATCACCTTAAAGTTTCTTTTCTTCAAATATTTCAATTGACACTCAGAAAATATAGCTAAAAGAATTTACACGAGGAAATCACGATTTTCCCATTGTTCTATCCATTCTGTGATAAATTGAGAACCCATTCGACTTCCCCCACAATTTCAATTGTTTGTTGTTCCTATCACGGTATGGAGAGATAAACCAGTATAGACGTTCTAGCTGATCTTTTGAATCCATGTTTAAAGATCTTCGTGAAGTTTGCCTCTGCAACAAGAAATATAGAGTGTGAGAGCAAGATATGCAGGCAAAAAAGGATGGAACATGAGAAAATTTAAACACATTTTGTTCAATCTAGATTCCTAGTAATTTGAAATCAAGATAAAGAATCTAGATGGGACAGTCGAATCGAAGCATACCTACTATTTTCATCAGAAGTGGATGTAAATCATAGAAACTAGAGCTAAGCTTGTGTTTTATTTCGAACAATTGTTACACCTTCCTCGATTGCTTGGACAAAAGTTGCAATCTTGTAAGTGAAAAATCCCACCAGCATGGGTATCAACTCGAGGTGCATGAATCCATACTCGGGGACTAGGATCCTGCAAAGAAACCAATATAGCAATTTGAAAGACCAGATGCTTAAGCGACTCTCCACAAGGTATAAGCATTAATACTTGCACTACAACAACGAAAGAGAAGTCGTTAAGGTATTCTTTGGCTACAACTGTCGGAAAAGAGAAGTGCAGAAAAAGTTAACTCTCCTGCGTTTTCATGTGCTGAATAAGCAGGAAAATTGTGAAAAAAATGGGTTAAAATTATTCAATAGGAATGATTCTTCCAACTTGTGTCATGCGAATACTGTAGGAGCTTTAAAAGAAACAGGTTCGTCTTGTTTAAGCTTCTCTGACACAAACAAGTGCAAGAAAAAAATTACTTTCCTTAGCTACAATTTTCTCAAGAAATACATTTTCTAACAACTTGCTTGACGTCCACATGGAACTTAATGGTTTTTATTGTCCTTCATGTCAAAGAAGGAAATCAAGAAGGGAAATTCCATAAAAATTGAATCTCTAACCATATATATTTTTATTCAAGATGGTAATAGTGGTAGATCTTACCCATTCCACCGGTTAAAAATCATGACCAAAGCAACAGGAACTAATAGTCTTGGCTGCCCAACAGCTCCCCTGCAAGTAAAACCTTTTGGTAAGATTATCAATAAAAGCACAAAGTAGTCCTTTTCTAGGGATATAGCTACTCTTCTTAGTCCCAAACTACAGAATCATCTATTGTGCAAGCCTTTGGTTTCTATTTCGGTCTGTGGGTTAATACTTCCATTCATGGAAACATGAAGCTGGCAAGCGGGGAAGAACTACAATTTGACTGATCAAGTACAACTCTGCTTCAAGAATGACGATATGATATAACTCTGAGAAAGTACTAACGGATGCTCCATAAACATTTTCAAAATTGAATTTGAACTGTGGGATTGTAACACATGCAAAATGCATAGGGACAATTGGCATCCTATTTTTAACTGGCATGAGTCGTCATACATGTAAAACAAAGAAACAAGTAATGCTATGTTTTGAGCTAATACAAGAATCAATCAAGACAGACCACACAATGAGGTTATCCGATGCAAATCCTTTTCTTTATTTTCAATTGACTAAGTTTTTCTTCTTTGTATACACAACATGGGGTATACAACTTTATACCCTTTGGTTTTCCAGTGTAGGATGAACAATGTAATTACGGACTGTTGGACTTCATGGAATCCTTGTGTCAGTAAAAGGAGTACGGGTCCCTTTTGCACACACCTTCTTAATGTTACTTTGTAAGTAGAATTACTAAAACTGTACATTTACCTATCAAAATTTGACCAAGTGTCTTTCTTCATTGAATGTTTGCTTATTCATTTACAACTTGCTGATCAAGATCAGTTTCTTCAGCTCTTCCAGATAAGTTTGTGTTGTAAAATGGCAGCTTATTTTGGACACTCTGGAGAACTATACAAAAAGGATACAATTCCAGTTAGGATCCAATTTTTTCTGGTGGTTCCCTGACCGATCAATAGATAAAACACACCTAGTGTGAAATAGTTTGACCCCAGTCCTTCTCCTCTTCTTCGTATTTATAATTGTATTTTAATTCTTAATCATCTTCTTATGGAGTAGTTCATTGATTTTCTTGCCCAAAGGGCAGACAACGGAGAGAATGTTGCAAGTAAGGGAACAGGAATCGGAATGCGCACAAGACAAACAGACATATACTTTGCTTTTTACCCCGGACTCAGGCCTCTTATGATGACCTTTATTACTTAGGTACTCTTAACATGCTGATCAAGCAAGACACACATATGCCTGATGAAAACAAATAAGTTGTGACATAGAAATCAGCATATTTCAGTTTCTTAAGCAAAACTACTGATATATGTTCATTTTGGCAATGGTAAAAAATTGCATGAAAACCAAAATGAGAAAAGAAGAAACATGCATAGAGAGAGCCATTGGCTAAAGATCTTGAAACATGAAAAGTGTACTTGATAAGTGCTCTGGGTCCATCTGACTGCATAGAATCCACACTGTTTCCAAGCATACGCATGTACATCAGTGAACCAATAAACCCTGCACCGTAACTGCAAAAATGGTATATGCCACAGTTTATTAGCACCGCCTTTTCAAGCTTGTGTGCATTAGTGCAACATCGCCAAAATAACAGAACAAGATAAAGATTCCTTACATTAATTGAAGAAACAGAAGCATATTTAAGCAAAGAGAAGCTATGAAAAGTCCAGTTCCGATGGAGGAAATTGAAAGAATACTAACAGATTAAGATATTTCATTCAAAGAAGCTGCGATACGTTTCATCACATATCACAAACATCATTTTCAGAATAAATAAGCAAATTAAGAGTCCCTTCATCCAGAAATTCTACCGAAGTGGCAACCTTAAGAGACCAATAAACTAATTGGAGGGAGCGATTTGCAATAAATAGGAGCCTTGTCCCTCTACAACAATAGTAAATCAAACATGAGTAAATCTAAAGTAGATGCCTAAAGGAATTAAAGCATGTAGTAAATCCTATAATGGATTACCTTGCTGCTATTTCAGGAGAATAAGAGATATAAGCTGAAATCACTCCAACACCACCAATCCCAAGTGTGAGGAGCTGCAATTTATTCTTTAACTGCAAAGAAGGAAAAAATGAAACAATCAAAAGGTGAACTGGAAATTCCACAGATCTCAACCAAGAATGATTTATGTGGAATAATCGGTAATTAAGAACCTTAAGATACTGCTCCCTTGACTGAGCAGCCAAAACCTTTGGATCCCCTGTTGGGCGTCTTAATTCCCTGAACATCACGTCCTGTGTGATCGAAATTTCAGAATTACAAGTTAGAGAAGCATATTGCTCAATATGTATTACGAACCAAGTTTCAAGAAATGAACTAATTGCAAGTTCCGATGACGTACACTGCCCCCAGTTGCAGCCTTGGAAGCTTTGTCCCACTGCTCCTGCTCGCGTCGTGTTGGTGCTGGCCGCCATCTTTGAGATGCACTTAAACGAGGCTGAAAATCAGTTTAGTTTTTAGGAATGCAAGTAAAGAAGTTTAATACTTAAAGTTGCAAAACGCATATGTTTTGAAGTTACTACATACTCTAGTATTTTCGAGTTCTGGTTCTTGAACAGGTACTGAAGGGGCTGTTAGCTCCTTCGTCAAGTCAATTTCCAAACTACATTCTCCATATGCGATTAAATTTAAGAAGAAAACGGAATTTCTAAAATCTCTATAAAGAAAAGAAGAAAAAGATCTCACCTGTCAAGACTCATGACTCTGTTTAAGCTAAGAAATCCCGATGTCTCTTCCTGTAAAGATGTCAAGTCACAAGCAAATTTGGCGACCATTCTAACAAAACTGGTATGCATTCGTCTTTACTACCATATAAAGCAATAGCAACTTCTTCAGTATCTTTACAAAATCTTATCATACATGGGGGAGAGGGAAATGGAAACATGGGAGGGGATTACAAGGTTGGAATCGAACCCCCACGATGGAGCCACATAGCTGTTCGCTGGAAAATTACACTGTTTCGATAGGTATTTTTTGTTTTTAATGTATATATATACTATGTGTTGAATCCCCTAGACTTCTTCATGTGTTTCCTTTTTAAAATTTGACATCCCTTAGTGAAAGCTACTGCCAACAAGGTGAGCGTTTAAGTAGCCGACCAGCTGGACTGAAGAGATTCCCCCCAACTTCTTCAGTATAGAGTACTATACATACATATAAAACGCATTCGCACAATTGAGATTCCTATTAAATATAAAAAAGAGGAGGAAGCCATTGAATGACCAAGATAGTTAACTGCCCATCATGCAGAAAAACCAGGATATACACAATTAGAGAAACAAAACAGAGAATTAGGTGGTTCAATAGCCAATAATCAAAAAGTAGACACGTGAAAAACTTGTAGCTTCAAGAACAATTTGTCAGACAATTTGCCACAACAGTTCAAATTCTAAAGACAAAGATAAAAGTATTCTTTCATTAAATAATGAGCCATTTCTATATTTAGAAGCAATTTAACTTTAAACTTCTCATTCTACCCTTAAGCAAATATCTATCAATTAATTTGAGACCACAAATTTCAAAATTGTTTCTTTATTTATTAAACTTGTCGCTCAGATAAATATGCCACATAAAATGGGACGGAAGTAGCTAATTACTCACTCCGTCTCGGTTTCAATTTAGACGATAGTTTGACTGCCCACGGAGTAAAAAGAAGGAAACTTTTGAAATTTATGGTGTTAAAAGCGCTTACGGGTAAAAGCTTTGTAGGGCTTTGCGGTTATAAATGTTATCTTCATAAGGGTAAAATGGATGAATTATTTCCAAATTTAGAAATATGTCAAATTACTAAAAAGGAAAGTAGTTAAAGATTGTACCTTTGCAGGAGCAGAGGGAGAAGAAGGGGGATTTTGTTGAGGGTCCTGAATATACTTCTTCATACGACCCATAAATTCTTTGTTCCAGATATAATCATCAGAGGTAAGAGGATCCACATCCTCACCCCAATACTTCCTGAGCTTAGTTGTAGTGGGTGGAGCAGCATTGTGCCCAGGAACCACTCCAGTGGACAATTTCACAGGTTTCTGCTGGGGCAATATTACCTTGGTCTGTGTTGGAATTGAAGATGGGGTTGAACTATTTGCAGAGTCTTGAGATATGGGTGTGGATGCAGAGGTCACTGAGAGATAGCTGTAGTTTAGGACCCCCATTTTAATTCCTTCAAAATTGTTTTCGGGTGATGACTTATGTGCTTTGTAGTTCTTGGCTTTATAGAAAGGACAAATATCTTTAGTGCCCAGATGATCCGTGGACCAGGTGTTGTTGATAACATTGTTTTCAATGTTTGGCCAATGCAAAAGTTTGATTTGGATATTTTTGAGGAAGCAAACAAAATGTAGTGGAAAAAGAAACTTGTATAGGTAAAAAATGGTATGTGTCATTATGTGAACTTTTTGTAAGATGTGATTTATTTAAATGGTAAAAATGGGGTTTATGTAACTTCTTGTAAAATGTAATATCTTATTTATTTAAAGAAAAGTAGAGTTTATTTTGAGGCATAAAAGGAATACATTTACTTTTTAAATTATTTGCTTGCAAAATAGCAGCATTTTGTTCTTACTTGACAAAGGATCAATATTTGGCTATGGGGTGCATTAGGACATTGCTGACTCAAAAGTTTGGGTATGTGCATGGACCATAATAACTTGGGCTTCGTAATTGGAAGTGTGTGGAAAATTCGTTAAAATATCATGGTATAGCCAGTTTTCACACTGGTCAATGAAAAATAGCCAGCGTTTATCAAGTCAATGAAAAATAGCCACTATTTTGCTGCAATAGGGACCGGTCCAGTATAATATACGGGAGTTCTGGTGCATTTGTGTACGAACTCCAGCATATTATGCTGGACCGGTATACTTTGCTAACTCCTGTAAAATTTGCGGGAGACTGGAGCACCAGTGCTCCAAACTCCAGTATATTATACTGGACAATTATACTTGCTGGAACTCCCGTAAAATTTGCGGGAGTTCCAGCATAATTATGCTTGAACTCCCGTAAAATTTGCGGGAGTTCCAGCATAGTTATCCTGGAACTCCCGTAAAATTTACGGGAGTTCAAGCATAGTTATGCTGGAACTCCCGTAAAATTTGCGGGCGTATTTTTCCGGATTTTGAACAGTGTTTTCGCTCAGATTTAAAGTGGCTAAATTTCGATGACTTTTGAAACTTGGCTATTTTTCAACGACCAATGGTAAATCTGGCTATTTTTGAATTTCTCCCGGAAAATTCGGGCGAAGTGCACAAACACAGCCACTTTTAAGTCTGCTATTTAAAATATATTTATAATTTACAATGTATTTAAACATTGGCCAATTCATTCTAATTTCAGGACTAAGTATTCTGAATTTTTGAACTGCTAATTTGAAATTCAGGACTAGTGTCCTAAATTTTTGAGCTGTTAATTTGAAATTCAGGACTAAGTGTCATGAATTTCTAAACTGCTAATTTAAAATTCAGGATATAAGATTCGAATTTCTGGACATAATTTTAGAACTTTAGAACATGATGTCCTGAAGTTTGAACTTTGAGGTTTAAACTGCGGGACATCGTATCCGAAAGTTTAAGCAAATTGTCTAATCTTTAAATACATTGTAAAGTGTGAATATATTTTGAACAACATGCTGAAAAGTGGCTACCTGGGGTTATTTCAACGGGATATTCACTAAAAACTGGTCAAGCCAAGAAGTTTGAACTTTGACGTTTAAACTATAGGACGTCGTATCCTGAAGTTTGAGCAAATTGTCTAATCTTTAAATACATTGTAAACTGTGGATATATTTTGAACAACATGTTGAAAAGTGGCTACCTGGTGTCATTTCAACGGAATATTCGCTAAAAACTGGCCAAGCCAAGAAGTCCAATTCGTTATAGTAAAAATTGCATGGGGTGCCTTATTTGGTCACCCCTATTTAATCTATACCCACTTTAAAAAAATTTTAACTAGTACCCAAAGTTTAAACAACTTCAGGCCTTTTTCTCCTCTTTCTTCTTCTTCTTCTTACCCAAAGTTTAAACAACTTTAGGCCTTTTTCTCCTCTTTCTTCTTCTTCTTCTTCTTCTTCTTCTTCTTCTTCTTCTTCTTCTTCTTGTGACAGTGATTTTATATGGTGTTTGTGAACATATTTTAAGGTAGTTTATGATATCTTACAGTGGTGAGCTGCTGTGGCGGTTTATTTTTTACTAGTGCTTAGGATTTTTTTTCTTATTCGCGAAATGGGTTCGTTACTTATTGTTGTTTTGGCAAATTGATCATTATGATTTGTTCTTGATGATATTTGGAGGTTATGTATCAAATTTGAGCTCATTTGGAGTAAACTTAGGTGTTAAATCGTATATTGGATTGTTAAAATTCGAAGAACAATTTCTGTTTCTGGGCAATTTGCACTTCAGACCTATTTGGCCTTAAGTGCATAAAAACATTGGTTGCACTTCAGACCTATTTGGAAGTACATCTTAAGTGCAATTTTTCAATTCAGACTTATTGGCCTTAAGGGCATGAAACCATTGGTTGCACTTTAGGCCTATTTGGCTTTAAGTGCATCTGAAGTGCAATTTTTTACTTCAGATTTTTTGGCCGTAAATGCATGAAACCATTGGCTACACTTCAGACCTATTTGGCCTTAAGTGCAAAAGTGTAATTTTTTCACTTCAGACTTTTTGGTAGTAAGTGCATGAAACCATTGTTGCACTTCAAACCTATTTGGTCTTCTGAAGTGCAATTTTTCACTTCAGACATCTCTGACCGCAAGTGCATGAAAATATTTATTGCACTTCAGACCTATCTGGCATTAAGTGCAATTTTTGCACTTTAGACTTTATTGGCCTTAAGTGCATTGCACTTCAGACTAATTTGTTTTAGTTTTAGACCTGATAAGTTTCAAATTAATCGTAAAGCGGGTAGGCTTGAATTTTTTTTTACAAAGTGAATATCGGTTCAATTGTGACCCCAAAATCGAATACAGAGTCATAAGCCCCCATCATCAAAATTTCATCTCCAAGCTTCTCTTACACAAAATTGTTACTCACTTATAATCGAGCAGAAATGTTCTGTTTAAAGTTAATTATCTTGACCTTTCGAGAATCATTGGCGGACACATTTGACTGCAACTGTTCAATATTTAGACCAACTAATTCTTTAAATTTTTAGTCCACATACCTAATTTTCTTTGTCCATAGAAATACTAAATTGTGCCCACAAATTGGAACTCTCTTACTATTCTAGCTAATACCTTCAACTGATTAGCAAATACAGTTATAAATGCTTTTGACATCGAATTAATAGGATAAGCAAAGAAAATGATTTTCCTTTTATCTTTTAATTTATTGCTTAAAGAAAGCACTAGCTATATGGAAATATGCTCTACAAAAGGCACATAATCGAATAATCATTTCATAATTGTACTTATAAAACTTCAACTCATGAGAAGTGATGATAGGGATATGGTTAACATTTTGAGAAGCTTTTTCACGCTGGTATACCGTATACAATTAGCAAGAAACAAAACTCCTGTTTGCTAATGGATGAAGATTGAAAACAAAACTAAATTCAATGAAATTGTTCTTTTCTCCGTTATATATTTACCTAAGATTACTTGTAACATACTCCCTTCGTCTCAAATTATCTGCCGTGGTTTCTTAAAATAGTTGTTTCAAATTATTTGTCATTTTAGAAGTTCAAGATTAAATTAATTATTTTTTTCCTATTCTACCATTAATATTAATTGTTCTTGAAGATTACAAATAACTCAATTATGAGTAAATATTAAATGAAGAGATAATGTCATAAGATAAACAAGGGTAAAACAGTTAAAAATTTCTCCTATTTAGAAGAAGGGAGTAGCAAACAAAGCATGCCCCATTTAGTAAAGAGAATCATAGTTTGACTTTCAACTTGATCAGAATCTTACAAAAATAGAAAAGAAGTAGTACCGCAGTTAATAGAGATAAAACATGGACCACGCTGAATTACTTAAAGAGACGTTATAATATAACTTGATGAACTGTTTTATGTACAACTTCATGTTTGAAAAACCTAAAGAAAAAAAATAATACCAAATCAAGCAGTAATTAATGAATTATAAAGCCCTAATCTTCTGCCTTAAGATTTAAGCAACAATAAGCTATAAACAAATTAAAATTCAAGTCTGAACATGCCCTCGTAGAAACAAGAAATCCATAGACTGAGAACTAAAAACAGAGAGAATCTATGTAGTCTTTTTCAAGAAAGTAGTCTTCAAACACCCTTTAATTTGCAGTCTCTGTTTTCAAGTAATCCACCTACTATCAATCCAATATAATCTTGGTGAATTCTCAAGTCACTTATATTCGACCCCAAAGTTTTCAAAGTATACGAAGTAGTTAGTTCCAATCGATTTTGCCGAATTAACCCACCACCCATCATTGTCAACTTGATGGTACAAGCTAAACTCATTCACAGGAATCAGAGGGGGCACAGGGCAGAGTTCAGAGAGTGTAACCAACTCTTTCAAGGGAGCAGAGAGATTATCTTTCAACAAGTTAATATACTGCACTATGTATTCTTAATTTCTTGAATGGTTGGTACACCTGTGAGCGTTACTGTGTTAAAACACAAAATCAGAAAAAAACTGTTAGAAAAATAAAAGAAACTGGAAAAACAGAAGAGTTTAAGAAATATTCCGAGTCCACAATTTTCTTGTGTGTCCTTAAGGAATTTTAACCCCCTCACACGTTGCCAAGGTAATGGATTAAATCCTCCCAGGATAAAACGGAATAAACCTTCCTGCAACAGTGGCAATACAAACTGCAGGATACCAACGAGCTCAAAGAACGGAGCAAAATCACACTTACGAATTTGAGAGAGAGAGACTGCGAATTAGGATGCAGTATATTCAGAAAGAAAGAAGTTCTGGAGTGTTTTTCGTGTGTAGAAAATGGAGCCTTGCCTCAGAATTTATAGGCAATTATCAGAAGAGGTGTCTGGAAAAGGTGCCTTTTCACAAGAATACGCTGCCTGCCGCGGTTCTACCGCGGTCGCGGCAGAACCGCGGTCAGAGAGGCTTTCTGAACCTGCCTGCCGCGGTCGCGGCAGAACCGCGGCCAGAGAGGCCCTCTGAACCTTCAGCAGGGTTCTGGCGTATTTTCAGCAGTGATTTGGCATTTAATTAATTATTAAATAATTAAATAAATTTTGTCCAAAAATAATCTTTTCGATCATT